GGGTCGCTTTTTATCAGCGCCGTTGTAACTTCAGATGGTCACTAAAGGAACGATTGTAAGTCCAGGACTGCCCGTAGTCTTCCCCTCTGCCTCTTTTTTACAAAATAAAAAACCATGGTGTGTGTGTGTGTGTGTGTGTGTGTGTGTGTTTGTGTGTCTTGTCCACCTCTTGTGTTCATCAGGCAGCAAATCTAAACTGAGGAAAGGGAAAAAGAAGGCTTGCTCTTTTGTAATAGGCAAAGTTCTTTCCTTTTGTGCCGTTCAAATTTCCAGGCTGGGAGAAATGCAAAATGATTTGGTCAGCTGCGTTGAAAGTCAGCATCAGTTTATTTAATAGGAAGGCAGGTAAGAAATCTCACAGCGTCCCTAGGATTGATCTAATCTTGTGAGTGGAGAAACACTTTTTTTTTATAGCCTTCGGATCCTTTGATTTTGTAAGCGTGAAACTTTGAAAGTCTTGGATTGGTGTGTGTGTGAGGTGAGTTCCTGTCTTTTGATATTGGGATCTCTTCCTGGGATCTTGGTAATTGTTTTATTAAGTAGCGGTTCGTTGCATCAGGTTGCAATATCCCGAGTTTCCTGTTACGACGCTTGATTTGCCTTTCACAAGTTTTATAGCTTGCCGTCTATTTGATTTCTACGGGAAAGGATCCTAGCTGGTTTGTAGGGATTTTTTTTTTCCCCTCTGTATCTCATGCCTGTAATTTTTCTCCTTCCTTTGCTGTGAAAAAAGCAAGCTGGCTCCAAGCTATTTTCATAGCCCTCCTTGCCAAAGGCTGGGGGCCGATGGAGCCGACCCTGCCTGTGTTTTCACCTCTTCCTTTCTTCTCATGTTTTCCTAGAAGGCAGGGGAATCACAACTTGCAACAGAACGAAACACAAGGCAAAACATTCGTGTTTTTGTTTTTCTCCCTGAACATCTGAGTCACACATGCGGCTTTTTTCCCCCTGGCTCACGCTGCCGCCTCCGGCGTTGGTGCTGTCGAGAACTGCTTAGTCACACCGTGGGGTTCCTCTCTCCCCACTTCTTCCTCTCCCCCTTTAGAGTTTGGATCAAGCTCGGAGGGGGAAACCACCCCCCACCACCCCCCAGGATTGGGAAGACCAAGATGCAGCTAGGCTGTAACCTTGGCATATGGATTTGGAAGGGATGTCCAGGGTGTGTGTGTGTGTGTGTGTGTGTGTGAGAGAGAGAGAGAGAGAGAGAGAGAGAGAGAGAGAGAGAGAAAAGAAGAAGAAGAAGAAGAAGAAGAAGAGGAGGAGGAGGAGGAGGAGGAGGAGGAGGAGGAAGGGAAGGGAAGGGAAGGGAAGGGAAGGGAAGGGAAGGGAAGGGAAGGGAAGGGAGGAAGGAAGGAAGAAAGAACATACTCTGGAAAGGAGGGAGATGGATGGATAGATGGAAAAGAGTGAGTGAGTGAGGAAGGAAGGAAGGAAGGAAGGAAAGAGAGAAAAAGGTGCATGCTTTGGAAAGGAAGGAGATGGATGGATGGATGGATAGATGGATGGAAAAGAGTGAGTGAGGGAGGGAGGGAGGATGGAAAGAAAGAAAAAGAAAGAAAGAAAGAAAGAAAGAAAGAAAGAAAGAAAGAAAGATGCTCTGAAAAGGAGGAAGATGGATGGATGGTTGGATGATGGATGGAAAAGAGTGAATGTGAGTAAGGAAGGATGGAAAGAAGAAAGAAAAAAGAAAGAAAGAGAAAGGAAGGAAAGAAAGAAGAAAGAGAAAGAAAGAAAGATGCATACTCTGGAAAGGAGGGAGATGGATGGATGGAAAAGAGTGAGTGAGGAAGGAAGGAAGGAAGGAAGGAAGGAAAGAGAAAGATGCATGCTTTGGAAAGGAGGGAGATGGATGGTTGGATGGGAAAGAGTGAGGAAGGAAGGAAGGAAGGAAGGAAGGAAGGAAGGAGAAAAAGAAAAGAAAGAAAGAAAGGCTGGAGGAGCCGGCATGGGTGGGTCCCAGTGGGATTGGCATCCTCCCACCTCTGAACCCTCAAACAACTTGACCGAACAACTTGACCGGATAGGAGGCACAGATTGCCATTCCTCTCATTCCCCCCCCCTCCCAAACTGTAAAGTGATCCAGGAGGAGAAGAGAGGAAAAACAGAACCAGGGTGACGGCCAGATCACATGCCGGTTACACATGCCAGCCGAAAGGCCGGTTGCTGTGGGAAACGGGAGGAGCAGGACCTGCCCTGTAAACATCAGAACAGCCAATTATTTGATCAGGCTTTGGTGGGGATTAATGGGAGGCCTTTGGGCCTTCCTCTCGTGGCCATCCCGGCGGCTGCTTGAGGAGAAACGGGCTCTGGGGGGGGGTGTCAGTGGGTGGATGGGGGTGGGGGCTTTCGGCAGATCCCTTCGATGGCCCCCTGAGCCGTTCCTCCCAAAGGAATTCTCACCGTCGCTTCAAATTCCCACAGTGGGAGAGTTAGAATGAGTGGCTGCCCCGCAATCTTAAGACACCTAGAATTGCACGGCTGGTGGGGGGGCCTTGGGGATCTTCTAGTCCAGGGGTCTCCAGTCATTCAACTCCCAGAAGTAAGTCGAGGAATACCTGCATGTGAAATGGAATAATCAGTGAGAGAGGGAGGGAAGGGAAGGGGAGGGAGAATGAGATTGGTTGTTTGTTTACTTGATTATGGAGCTGTGGCCTATCTAGGTGAACATCTGGTCCTCCAAATGAGAGAGAGAGAGGGAAAGACAGGAAGAGAGAAAGGAAGGGGGAGAGAGAGGGAGAGGGGAAGAGAGACAGGAAGGGAGAGAGAGAGG